GTTAGAGATCTCCCATTAACTAAGAAATTGATCTAAAAGTCAGTCCTCCAGTCATTTTTACCCTTGAGGCGCCTAGAAGATGCAAATACAAAGTGCTCTGGGAAGACTCCACAACCCAGGCCTTGGGGGACCCCCAGAGAAATGAGCCACACCAAATAAGTGCTCATGTAGGAATAACAAGATCTGTGAGAAAACAGCACATCGTGCCTCAAGGTGAGACAGTGGACTAGAGGAGGAAGTAGAGCTGTATGAATTTAAAATAACAGAAGTTTCAAAGATAATAAAAAGGAAGTATTTTAATTAATTAAACTCATAAAAAGAATTGAGACTCTTAGAACAAATTTTAGGTCCATTAATTTATATTTAAGGATTGTAAAAATTCCAGGGTTGTTAGTACCCTAATTACCTTATTTTTGCTTTTTAAACCTACCTCCTCCAGAATGTAAATGGAATCTAAATATTCACACACAGCGTTCTGTGCAGTATTTCAGCTAAACTCTTGAAAATGCTATTACTGACCTTTACATTCGGGCTTAACTAGCTGGCTCTGTACTCTTCTCTTGCAGGAACTGTACTGGGCCATCTGGTTAATCATCTTAATAAGAAAAAGCCTTATACAATAATCTCACATAGCACAGACATTCTCACTTCTGCTTTCTGAAACTAACCAGGCTTTTAAAATAACACTAAATGTTAAACCAATCAACACTTAAAAAAATAAATGTTATAGGATGGGAGAATGCAACTATGCATTAAAACATACTTGTTTTAAAGTAGCAATATGAAGATTAATCAAGGGCTGAAATCAGTATTTGTAGGAGTATCAAAACATTAAAAACATTAGATAACGAAGATCTGTGTTTTGGAATTGTGTCTGTTGGGTTTCCTGTAGTATTTTAAAAATAGGTAGATATAGGATCTTAATCCACCTTGTTCTTTATAGAATAACAACAATATTCTATCCTCTATTATCAGATTTCCAAAAACTATGGCACCCATATGACTAAATCACATTTCAAGGGGCGCCTGGGTGGCTCAGTCAGTTAAGTGTCTGCCTTCGGCTCAGATCATGATCCCGGGGTCCTGGGATCGAGCCCCACATTGGGCTCTCTGCTCAGCAGGGAGCCTGTTTCTCCCTCTCACTCTCTCATATGCCCGCCCTCCCTACCCCCCGCTTGTGCTCTCTGTCAAATAAATAAATAAAACCTTTTAAAAAAAAAATCACATTTCAAGAATGAGAATGAGGGTTGCCTGGGTGGCTCAGTGGGTTAAAGCTTCTGCCTTCGGCTTAGGTCATGATCCTAGGGTCCTGGGATCGATCCCGAATCGGGCTCTCTGCTCTGAGGGGAGCCGGCTTCCTCCTCTCTCTGCCTGCCTCTCTGCCTACTTGTGATCTCTGTCTGTCAAATAAATAAATAAAATCTTTAAAAAAAAAAAAAAAAGAATGAGAATGGTACTATACTTCCCACTAAGATAATGCCATTATTTTATTCAAATTCCTTTGTCATTTCTCTACTTCTGTCTCCATGTATGTTTTAGATACATTTAAATTAAGAAAATATAGTTCAGTTTTATCATTGATAATGAATTATTGGTTAGTTGGAAGTCAAAATGTTATCTTTTTTTTTCTATTGAGGTATAATTGACATAATGTTATATTAGTTTTAGGTGTACAACGTAGTAATTCCATATTTGTATATGTTATAAAATGTAAAATATTAACTTTTAAAGTAAACTTGAATTGGTTTCCTACAAAGGCAATACATGTACACTTTGTACTTTTATGTATTTTTTAATTCCTCAAAATTAAAAGTTGGAATAAAAGTATATATATCTGTTTTAAGGATAAAAAGAAATTTTTATAATAGAATTCATAAAATAGCATTTTTTTACTAATTAAAAGGTGACAAACTAGGAAAAAAGGCAAGGAACCTTTTGAAATGAAAAATTTATTATGTGGAACTATTAAAGATGATCAAGGACTTTTTTTTTAGATGCATCTGGTATTTATGGTGTTTTGGTTTTTTTAGCTGAAATTCAAGAGCTTTAACAACAGCTTTTTTTTTTTTTTTTTTTTTTTTTTTTAAGAGAGAGAGCTCACATGTGCAAGGGCGGGGTGGGGCAGAGGGTAAGAGAGATCAGCGGACTCCACACTGAACATGGGGCTCGATCTCACAACCCTGGGATCATGACCTGAGCTGAAATCAAGAGTTGGATGCTTAACTGACCGACTAACCCACCCAAGTGCCCCAGCAGCAACTCTAGAACCTCCATCCTTGCTGGTTTAGTGCCCTCCCTACCACTTATTTGATCTCTTACCTTTCAGAGCCTTGGTATCCTCCTGTGGTAAACATTGATATTAATAGCACTTTCTCATAGGATTATTAGTGCCTGTTCATTAATACAGAGAAAACCCCATTGCTTTTCAACAAAGCACATTGGGTGTACTTTGTATTTCAGATTATATCTGCCCATGCCCAGTTGTTAGTAGAAATAAAGGTTTTTTTCTGAGAATCTCAGCCAACCAACTAAATTGGAGTTGCTATTATTTCTAGTATAAATTACAAATGATTACAGAGAATTCCAACCTAATCAAATATTCAGAGGAATTGAAAAGCTTTTCAAACTCAGTTTTACTTGTAAATTGCTTAAGTGATCTTCAGAAGTATTTTTTATTTTCTTTATGTGGGGTTTTCTTTTTAACAAAAATGTCTCTCGATTGCAAAGTTTTACTTACTCTTTAATTTTAGGTGTTCTCCAAGTTTCTGTCATCTGCCTGAGGTGATCGCTTCTATTTACTTTCTGGACTTTAGCTCTTATACCTATGTGATTACCTCCAGATAATTATCTACAAGTCCTCCCTCTCTTTCAGTTTTGTTTTTCCTGGTTGCTTCCTACACATCTGTGTGTGGTTCTCAGGATGTTTCCAGTGCTCCACATACAAACATTATTCTCTCCCATCTTTCTCTCACCCCTGTCACCTGCTTTTCTCTCAGTCTCAGTGAATGGCATTCCCATCTCTGTCCAGCCAGTCATCCCGACCTCTTTCTCCCTCACCTCTCACTTTTAGCAGGGTGCCAGGCAATGTTAAATAGGCTTTGACTCCTGAATATCTTTTTAGAGTGCTTTCCTCCTTCCCCACTCCCACTTCAGCAGGTAGACCCTTATCTCTCCCCAGGGTTATTGGACTGAGCCTTCTAACTGGTCTCTCTGCCTCCCTTCTTGACACTCTCCCCGCTCCCCCCGCCCTTCCAGCCCAGCTGTCCAGTACCTTCACCACAGTGGTAGTCCCGAAGCCCTCACATGTTTAGAGACTTAGCTCCGCATTATCTATATAATATAGTACAGCCTCCCTAGAGAGACAAACAAGACCCTTCACAATCTGGATACTCCTCTTTATCCAAAATTTCTCTCCATTGTCATCTTTTTTTTTTTTTTTAGTTGCATTATAGTTGATACAAATGTTATATTAGTTTTGGGTATAAAACAGTGATTTAACAAGTCTATATTTTATGGTATGCTCACCACAGGTAACCTGCCATCTGTCCCCATACAGCACTTTTAAAGTGCCACTGACTAGATTGCCCATGCTGTGTCTTTTCTCCCCATGACTTACTCATTCTGTAACTGGAAAACTGTATCTCCCACCCCATTTCACCGTTATTTGTTCAATCCCCCCCACCCCCTCCCTTCTGGCAGCCACCAGTTTGTTCTCTGTGTTTATGAGTCTATTTCTTATAAATATGAGTCTGTTTCTGCTTTTTGTTTGTTTAACATACTCCATATCTTCTTTATCCATTCATCTATCAATGGACGCTTAGGTTGCTTATGTATCTTGGCTGTTAATAAGTAATGCTACAGTACACATAGGGGTGCATAAATCTTTTCGATTAGTGTTTTTGTTTTCTTTGGGCAAATACCCAATAGTGGAATTACTGGATCCCATAGTAGTTCTCCTTTTACTGTTTTGAGGAAGCTTCGTACAGTTCTCCACAGCGGCTGCCCCAGCTTACATTCCCCACAGCAGTGCATGAGGTCTAACCTCATCTTTCCACAGTTCTCCTTGCGCTCTCCACTCCGTCAGCGCGAAGCCACGGTAGTTCTCTGCGCACAGCGTGACAGTTCTCATTTCCCTTCCTGCTCTAGTGCGTGCTTCCCTTTGCCTTAATATGCACCCTTCCCTTCCTGTTGAACAAGGCCTTCTTGACTACCGCCTCCCCTCCCCCCCACACAACAGAGAGCTAATTGGTTTTTCCTTTGTGCTATCAGGGTATTTTTCTTTTTGCTTCCAGTGTTTTAAATTTCTTTGTCTGCTCGTTAGGCTTTGCCCACCAGACTAACTTTCTCCTAAAGAACAAGGGACTCAGGTAATTTTAGCATTTCTGGTGCCTAGCCGTCCTTATAGGGAGGTATTTAACAAAGGCATTTAGAAAATACATGAAAAATTGTTCATGAAATGGAGGATTTTTAGAGAGGGAAATAGTATGCTTAATGAAGGGATGAGTAGTTCTAGCAAATATTTTTTTAAACGGCATGCAGGGTAAAGATTGGATTAACTTTGTGTGGCTTTGGATGGTGGAGATAATGTCAGCAGAGTAGTCTTCTGGTTTAGCCATAAAGAAGGCAATGAGAATTGTAGAACAGCAGCGCCATCCTGCCTTCATTTGGAATTTGTATTTAGACAACCTGAGTTTTAGTCCTGTCTTGGTCACTAAATTTGGTCATTTCTGGGTCTTAGTTTCTTTGTTTTTTGACAGAAAAATGAAGGTAATTGTAGATTATGTGGTGGTTTGGAGGACTAGTGAAATACCTTTTTGGGTTCCTCACCTAACATCTGATGTTGAATAGTACTTAATAAATGTTCATTGGATTTGAATTAGCCTCCTGTTACTGGATTCTTTTAGTAAAACCTTACATGTATCACACTGAATATAAGTAAATGTGTGTACCTAAGCTGGCACCAAAAAAAAGATACTCAATTGCCTTTTTTTCTCTTAAAGATTTATTCATTGTACTGATGATTCTCCAGATCCTTGTATAGAATATGAGGTAAGGATTTACTTTTTTAAATCTTGAAATTGATAATCCTAGATGAAGATGTGTTAGAAATTGCTATCTGTTCTTAAGCAGAATGAATAAAATTTTTTGAATCAATTTCTCTGGGAACCTGGAGCCACTGAATTTTTTAAATTTATGAAAAATATCTGTATAAATAAATATTTAACACTTAGACACAGTATATACATACTATAAAATATATGTATTTTGTAATAAAACAAATACTTTACACCCATCATCTGGCTTAAGCTGGGTAAGCTTTTTAACCTGGTATATGAAGAAAAAAATCATCATTTTACCATTTAGGCTCAGTAGACCTTTTTATTTTTTTACATTGTTCACTTATTTTATAAATTACATATAGAAGTTAGATCGAAAGGATAGTGGAAAACATTTTTAGAAATAGCAATAAGAATTCAAACATAGCAAACCCAAATTTGTATTCCACTTTTCCTAGTTTGAAGGTTAAATACTAGCCCCCTACCAAATACCTCTCCCTGAAATGGGCAGTATTCTTGGACTCAAATAACTACTCATCAATTGTTATGAGTGAATCTGAAACATACTTTTCTTTTAAATCTTGATTCCAGGTTTCAGCTACATCCCTGATAGACTGTTCCTTATCATTACTCTTGGTTCGTCTTGCACTTGGATTGTCAAAATGTAACACTTTTGAAAACTTTGACAGCTCATACTTTGTTGAAGAGAGTGGTCATCTTGCTTCATAATTGCAAACCACTTGCATTTTTGGATTTGTAACATTAATTAGAATTAGTTCAGTGGTCTTTAAAAAAAATTCTTCATTAAAAAAATTCATTTTTTGCTTTGTCACCTTTGTATACACACACTTTCAAAACTTGCAGACTGACTCACTGTATCAAGAAATTTTTAGTGTGCTGAATGTGTATTGGTAGAACTTCTGTGATTTTACCATGTTTGTAGAACAGTTAATTTACTTTTTATTAGGCCACCAAACTGGATCTTTTATCACTTAAAATTGAGTTACATACCGGTTGTGAAGGGTTTTTTTGTTGTTTTTTTTTTACATACCAGTTGTGAAGGGTGTTTTTTTGTTTTTTTTTGTTTGTTTGTTTGTTTTTGACTTAACAGCATATAGTATGAGCACATTCCTAATCATTAAACATTTTTATAACATTCTTTATATGTATATAGTATATTCCTATCTTTTGTCTCACTGAAAACATATCTATTAAATCCCTGCTGTGTCTTATCATTTGGTGCTGGAAAACACAAAATGACAAAGATGATTTCTGGAGGCTTGCTCTGAGGCATAATCTTTGTTTGAGATGTCATCTTCTATCCCCAAGATTGATTTCACCAGCAGTTTGCTCTTTTATTGCTTTTTTGGGAATGTGCCATCATCATGGTAGTACATAGGGTTTAAAACTCAGTTTTAAAAGCTCAGGAAAGTGATATACTTAGAATAATTAAAATGAAAAAAGTTGCAAGCAGAATCCTGTATATGGTGTATTCCTTCTGTGTGTATTTAAGAAGATACATACATGTACTCCATGTTCATTTATTTGTAGATTATGTCTGGAAAGCTATATGAGTGATTACACTGGTTACCGCTGAGAGGGAGGACAGAGGGACTAGATGGGGTGGGGGGGGAGAATTCACATTTTACCCTTACATGTGTTTTCAGTCAACTATACAGTATATGTGTTACCTGTCCAAAACATTACTTCAATAAAGATTATGCAGATTCTCCAAAAAATGAATGTTAGTTTATAATAACTGCTTATTTCTTTGTTGCTTAAATAAAAATTACTGTAGCCCTAAAGAACTGTATTTGTCAGTATCAGCTTTTAATAGATGACAACTGTGTACATGTACATTTTTAGTTTTTTAGTTCTTCATTTAATAATTAGGTTCTTTTTAAAAATACAGCACATATAAATCTGACTAAGAGCTTATAATAATGAAAATTGAAATTAGTGCATTTAAATCAGGCATATTTTAAGGATGTAAGTTTAGTTTTTTTAAGAAAAGCAATTTACTATCAAAAATTAAAAAGTATAAGAAAATATGAGGAACTTATTGCCTGGATATATCCTCAGTATTAGCATTTTGGCATTTAACTGCCCTTTCCTGAGATAAGTGTATATATGTGTGTGTGTGTATATATATACTGTCTTCATAAAATACTTTGCATACCATTTTCTTTCATTTATAGTTTATTTTTCCAGCTCATTAAATATTTTTTTATATCAGGATTTTTAGTGGCTGTGTATCTTATATATTGACAATTTTACTTACATTTACTTTACTTTTGTAAGTAATTTAAGTAATTTTTTAAGTAATTTTAAGTAATTTTAATTTAATTTACTTTACATTTTTTAAGCATTTGGTAGGTATTATATACTTGTGCTGGGAACATAAGGATGAATTGAGACCTAGTTCCTTGCCCTTTCTGAGTTGCTAGTTAGGAGGGAAGAGAGACTTGTTCAGATTATTGCTGTGTACAACTTGGTATGTATGTGCATACTATGGAATGTTAGATACAAGAAACTGGGAGCACAGGGTATGGGAAGGGAGGATACTGAGGCCACTGGAGGTTATTTGAGGAATGGGGCTTAGTGTGATTTAAGTTCCATCTCTTAGGCCTTAAAGGGCAAAGAAGTGTATGCCAGCCTAAGGGAGGCTGGAGGCACTGGCCACGTATTACAGTTAGTACTTGGAAGAGTAGGACTGGTTTTCGCCAAAGAACATTTTAAAAACAGACTCAGAAGCATACATTTGTCAAATATAGTATTTATAAAATTGTAGCAATTCAGTAGTATATGAGAATTTGTATATAATATATTAATTATAGTAGTGGAACCCATTTATGACTTGAGCCAGTGACAGAATTGTTTTACTTTAAAGTGGAGGCAGGGGCGCCTGGGTGGCTCAGTGGGTTAAAGCCTCTGCCTTCGGCTCAGGTCATGATCTCAGGGTCCTGGGATCGAGCCCCGCATCGGGCTCTCTGCTCAGCGGGGAGCCTGCTTCCTCCTCTTTCTCTCTGTCTACTTGAGATCTCTGCCTATCAAATAAATAAATAAAATCTTTAAAAAAAAAATAAAGTGGAGGCAAAATTATTGAGGGTTATAGTGATTTTTAGTGATAAATTATAATACTTTTATCAGAGTATTACACAATGGTGCTAAGAAGGTAGATAACTAGGATATCCATTTTTTTTTTTAAATATACTTAAAGGAGTGAAGAACAAATAATTAGAGGGCAACTGTATGCAATGATGATAGGATTCAACTTCATCCTTGGGTTTGTATATTATGTCAGCTCTCAAAGTGATAAATAAATGACAAAAGTGCTTTTTGTCATAAAGAATTTTAACAGTGTTTCTGCCACTTACTGGACTAATAAATTTGTTCCCTATATCTCATGATAAGAATGGTTTATGATGCTTTTTCTTCCAAACTATTTGATAATGGCAATTATTAAAACATACTCTTGGCATAAAATTATCTGTTAGACCAGTAAACATTCCTTTGTTACATGGTTGTGTTACATTTTTCCTCTCTCTACAGCTTGTTCTTCGAAAATGGTGTGAATTAATTCCTGGGGCTGAGTTCCGATGTTTTGTCAAGGAAAATAAACTTATTGGTGAGTTTTTTTACACATTAAAAGAAAACAAGATTTTTTTTTTCTTTCTAAATTTATATGTTTTACTTTTACTTTTTTTTTTTAAGTAAACTCTACAACACACAGGGGGCTTGAACTCACAACCCCGAGATCACAACCCCGAGATCAAGAGTCATGTGCTCCACCAACTGAGCCAGCTAGGCATCCCTGAAGTTGATTTATTTTTAGTAATCTCTACACCCAACATGGGGCTCAAACTCATGACCCTGAGATCAAGAGTCACATGCTCCTCCAACTGAGCCAACCAGTTGCTCCAAGAAGACAAGCTTTTGATGGAAGTGAATTTCTAATAATTAGGAGAGAGTAGTAATCAGTTTTTATCTCAGATGCTACCTCTAGCCAATTAGTAGTGACTTTCTGGAATTCTCTGTTGACAATGCTTCTGAGGCCATATTCAGTTTCCACAGAGAAGTATCTTGTCCATTAATCATGTGTGGATTCTGGAGATGAAAGTGATGGTCTTGGCCATTCCCAATTTAAGCTACATATCATGTTACCTGCTTTCTCTTTGGGACTTTCCTAAGTATTACTAGCAACATACCACTTATTTTAAGCATCATAAAAAGCCAAGTTTTGGGATCTTTGTTTCTATTATTAGAGCAGTGTTTATTATTCTAGCAAGAGGAAATATGTAGACAAATAAGTGCATTACTTAAAAAGCCACCCATTTTCTTCCTCTCAGATTATTTTGTTTGCTGTGATGTACTCAATTATTGAAGATAATCTGCTTTTTTTGGTCTTTGCATGTTTTCCATGCAGTAAAACTTCTCTTTGACCAAGAAAAGTGTGATTTGAATAAAATCACATCAGCACTATTTTTATTTTTTTTTAAAGATTTTTTATTTATTTATTTGACGGAGAGAGATCACAGTAGACAGAGAGGCAGGCAGAGAGAGAGAGAGAGAGAGAGAGAGGGAAGCAGGCTCCCCGCTGAGCAGAGAGCCCGATGCGGGACTCGATCCCAGGACCCCGAGATCATGACCTGAGCCGAAGGCAGCGGCTTAACCCACTGAGCCACCCAGGCGCCCCAGCACTATTTTTAAAAATTTTAAAAATTTAAAAGTTTTTAAAATTTGTCTATTATTATTATGTTTTTTAGAGAGGGAAAGAGAGAGAATCTTAACCAGGCTCCACACAGGCTTATAACCCTGAGATCATGACCTGAGCTGAAACCAAGAGTTAGGAGCTTAACTGACTGAGCCACCCAGGTGCCCCACATGAGCACTATTTAATGAATGTGACGTTGATATCTGTTAATTTACCTGAAAGAAACTTGGGGTGTTTGAATTGATCATATTGTTAGGTATTTCTGGAAGAAGGTACAACACAAGCAGAGCTAAAGAAGAGAGTCATATTGTCATTGATGAAGAAATTGTGTGGAAACCCTTCTTTCAAAGTAGAAAACTTTCCTAGGCCCAGAGCAAATTGAGGGAGTTTTTACAATAATCCCTTTAGTATATTTGGAATAAAATCAGCAAGTCACTCTGAAGACTTGTGTCTTAGCATGTGTGAACAGGAAAAAATAGCCGGTTTCTGTGAAATACAATATGAATTGGAAGACATTGGGAATATTTTAAGTTTCCCAAAGAAGAGTGGAAAAGAATACCATTTTGTAGAAAGTTCATTGGAAAAAAAAATCAAGAAGCAATTGTCTATGTGTATAGACTTAAAATTGCTTCTTTCATTTTTTTACATTGTAAATGTATTTATGACTGAACTCTTTATTGTACTAAATAAAAATAACTCTTTCTAAAGTAAGAATGCATGTCAATATGGAACTTAGGATATATCTATCCATATGAATGGATAATTTTTTACTAAGTTTTTTACTTGTATAAAATGCTGAATCATGTATTATGCAATATTCATCTGATTGGTCCTCTTATCTACTTTAATGGTTCTCTCAAAAAGATGTTTAAATTACATTTTGATGTTTTTGAAAAGAATGTTATATAATAATGGATATAAAATACTTTCTTGTCAGGTATTTCTCAAAGGGACTATACACAGTACTATGATCATATTTCTAAACAAAAGGAAGAGATTTGCAGATGCATACAAGACTTTTTCAAGAAACACATACAGTACAAATTCTTGGATGAAGACTGTGAGTATTTTTTATTGACTCAGTGAAATGAAGTACATAATGTTACTGAACCTTATTTCATGGTGGTGCAGATTTTTTTTTAAAGAATTTATTTATTTATTTGAGAGACAATGCACCAGTGAGGGGAGGGGCAGAGGAAGAAACAGACTCCCCGCTGAGCAGGAGCCAGGTGTGGGGCTCCATCTTAGGACCCTGAGATCATGACCTGAGCCAAAGGCAAACACTTAACTGACTGAACCACCCAGGCACCCTGGTGGTGCAGATTTTAAAACTGGATTTAAAACACTGTATTTTAACCATTTTGCTGTATTACTGTATCTGAGGTTGGCGTGTTAATTTTATCTTATTTTAATCAGTCACTTTTTAATACCAAGGCAGATACTTCTCTTATCATTTTAGACATTTTATTATTCATTTCAGAGGGTTTATCTACAGAGAGCAAAATGCTTGTGTTATTCAGACTAAATTAGCTAGTTGACTGATATACCTTTCTAGATTTTTTATTTGAATGATCAGATAGTACCAGTTACAAGGTAAACATTTGTGACTTGTTTTTAAGAAAGTATATTGTATATAAAAGAGTTTTCCTGCATTCTAAAATCTGTTCTGATTTCTTCTTGCCAAACCTGGGTTCTGTGGCAAATTTGATTTTAAAAAAGATGAATCATGCCATAACCATAGCTAGATTTTATGCTTTCCTACTATAGATTTTACTGAAATCATTCCTCATCAAATGAATTAAGTGATTGATGTCTTTGTCATTAGTACATGTTATTTGTTTATAATGGTGAATTCATTGGGATGATGTGTTTGGTTTGAAGTTTTAAATTCAATTAACTTTTGATTAACCCAGGTTTGAACTGCATGGGTCCACTTAGATGTGGATTTTTTTCCTAATACATGCAGTGTGGGGCTGTAGAAGATATATTTTCCTTATGACTTTACTAATATTTTCTCTACCTTTATTGTAAGAATACAGTATGTAATACACAAAATCCGTGTTAATTGTTTATGTTATTAGTAAGGATTTGGGTCGACAGTGGGCTGTTAAGTAGTTAAGTTTCAGGGAAGTAAAAACTTAAAAATGAGTTTTCCAACTCTGCAGGGAAGTCAGGACCCCCAGCCCCCGAATTGTTTAAGGATCAACTGTATAAAGGATTATGGCCAAGCGTAGAGGAAAACAAAATCATATAAATAAAACATTGTAGGCTATCTGATCATGTTTAAAAATTTTGAGATTTGGAAGCATGAAATTCTCAAGGTACTTATATTCTATTTGAGTAATGAATAATAAGATTCATTTTAATTTTCAAAAGGAGACTTAGATCATGAAAATAGTAGTTCATTGTTAACTTTGAGTTTTTTCTCCTTTACAGTTGTGTTCGATATATATAGAGACAGTAGGGTAAGTAACAACTATCTGATATGCTTTAAAATCAGGGCTGGTCTTCCGGAGTACATAGCCATTATGTAGGGGCCCGCTGCTCAGAAAGTACTTTCTCAAACCAGCTAAGGTGTTTGAAAGTCACACTGGTCAAGAATCTCCCTTAACATATACTTAACATTGGGAGACATTTTTCAATAGTTTTGTGGATTAGGATTTATTAATTTAACAGATGGCTAAATGGCTACTTTATGTCCTGCTTTCCACTTTTGTTGGGGTTCTAGGTCTGCTTAAAATAGTTCAGTTGGCACACGTAAGTGTGGCCAGGAGTTTGTCTTTTGATATTTGGGTAATTATTTTTAATTAACTAAAAGATCCTTAGCATGATTGGGATCACTTTTATCTTTAAACTGAGGATGAGGATTTGCTTATTCTTTAAATCTTGCAAGTGATGGAAACTATATAATGAAAAAGAGAACAAAAACTTAACTTCATTTAATCCTATAGCAGAGGTTTTATTATCAAGACGTGCAGTCTTTTAAAAAAAAAAATCTGGGTCACTAAACGTCCTGTGATTAGTGCTTATTGACTAAGCTTTTGGGAAGACAGCAGGTGTGTTTGACCTAGTATGTGTCCATATGTTTTCCAAATGTTACCCGCACATTTCTCATTCCCTCTCCAAGCTCAAGCAGCTCCACTGTTGTGATGCTTGCGATACCTTTGAATCATTTTTGGACAAAAGGGTCTGGCCCATATGGTCATGTCCCAAAATACCTGTTAACTGTTGACTTGCCTCTTTTTAGCCAAAAGACATCACTTACTCTGTTTTTACCTCTATGTCTTCAAGGGTGATAGTGTCTGCTAAGAGTTAGAAAGAGGAATTACAAATTGAGATGTGGTAAGGAAGAGGGATGTTACTCTGCACTTTAAATCTAGTGGAAACAAAGGTTAGAGAAAGGACAGGAAGCTGGTGTGATGAAATGGATAGAAACCAGGGCTGATCAACAGGAGCCCAGGCTCTAGTCCCAGCTCTGCTTCTGACTGATAGACACTGGCCGCATCAGTCACTCGCACAGCTAACATTTATAGAGAGCCTGTACTGTCAGATGCCATGCTTCTAACAAAAAGCTTCCAACAAGATGATTTCCTGACCTGCAAGGAGCTTATCTTCGAGACTTAAAACATTTCAGGGAATTGGCTGGTCATAAGTGGGATCAAATCAGCCAATTAGTGAATGAGTAAACCTAGCTTATTACCCTAATGTGTAGCTCAGAAAAACTTTTTTTTTTTTTTTTAAGATTTTATTTATTTATTTGACAGAGAGATCACAAGTAGGCAGAGAGGCAGGCTGAGAGAGACGGGGAAGCAGGCTCCCTGCTGAGCAGGAAGCCTGATGTGGGCTCCATCCCAGGACCCTGAGATCATGACCTGAGCCGAAGGCAGTGGCTTAACCCACTGAGCCACTCAGGCGCCCCTCAGAAGAACTTTATGTGTATTTAACTCAGGTTATCCATATAACCCTGTGAGGTATATGTTATTCTCATTTTACAGATATTAAAACTGAAGTAATTATATTTTAATGCAGTTATATTTATTTATTTATTTATTTTAAAAGATTTTATTTATTTATTTGACAGAGATCACAAGCAGGCAGAGAGGCAGGCAGAGAGAGAGAGAGGAGAAAGCAGGCTTTCTGCCGAGCAGAGAGCCCGATGCGGGACTTGATCCCAGGACCCCGAGATCATGACCTGAGCTGAAGGCAGAGGCTTAACCCACTGAGCCACCCAGGTGTCCCAATGCAGTTATATTTAATGGCATTTAAAAATTTGGAATTTACTAAGGTCTGTCAGTATTTCCCTGGAAAATGTCCAGATCTGCTTTGATTCACTATTGCTGGCAGGTCAGTGCAAATGTGTAATTTGGTGAAAGAGTTATATAAATGTCTCAAGTGAAGTTGGACATGTAGAGAAGTAATTACTGCTATGATCTAACAGAACTGAAAGAAGTTGTATGTTTTTAAAAAGTGAGAAACATAAGAGTAGAAACATGCCAACAGTTTCTGAGAAGAGATTTAAACCGTGATGTAAAACACATTTGCATATACTCAGTGGCACTCATATCACTGTTTTGTTAGGCACTTTGCGGAAATTTGGTTTTATGACTGTTGCAGAAAACTAAGTCTTTATGGTGGTCTCTGCTATGCAGTGGAACTGAAGTCTGATTTGGCAATATTCTGATGTGTCTATTTTCTTACTGCAGCTGGGCAAGTTGACTCAGTGTTGATAGATTCTAACAATCACATATGTCAGAGATGGCCCACACATTCAGTCGGTCTGGGATGAGGCCTTGGTATATGTATCTTAAGGAGCTCCTTAAGTGATGATAACTCATAACTAGAATTTAGAATAACTACTTCAGAAACTTGGAAAATTATTGCAGTCTCATTATTTTAGTGATGGCTGTTGTTTTGTTACTAATTTCATTGCTGTAAGGACTAAAAATGTCTGATCGTGAGTCTTTGATATTGTTGAGATTGGCTTTGCAACTTGGTCACTTTTTTGTGTCTGTTCTGTGTGTGTTTGAAAAATTACAACTAATGTGTGACATATTCTATAGATGTTTGTTAGATTAAGCTTGGTAATAATAATTGTGAAAATCTTTTTATAGATTGTGAATGAAATGGTGTCTGAAGAGACCTTCAAAACAATACAGATTTGGGGGGAATGGATGGAATATAAATGTAATAAGATTGGCTGTGGGGTTCAACAAGATAATTGTTGAAATTGAGTGATAGGTATTTGGATTCTTTGTATTTTATTTATATTTTGTCTGCTGAGTGCAGGGCCAGAAGCGGGGCCCAATTCCATGACCCTGGGATCACAACATGAGCTGAAATCAAGAGCCAGGCACCCAACTGACTGAGCCACCCAGGCATCCCTATATTTTCAATCATTTAAAACTACTGAATTTTTTTGTTAGAGTTTTTGAGAAATAACTTACACAGAGTAAAATTAATCCTTTTTAGGGTGCAGTTATATGAGTTTTGACAAATACATCCAGTTGTATAACCACTATTACAGTGAACATGTAGGACTCCCATCACTCCCCCAAATTCCTGATGACTCTCCTTGCACCCTAGCAAACACTGCTCTGTAAAACCTACTGAGTTTTAAACTTTTTAGTTGAGAATATCTTCACATTGCTCAAAAATTAAATCAATGTGAAAATACATATAGAAAGTCCTGCTTTTCTTACCTCTGTTCCTCTATACCTCCTACAAGTACGCTTTTATTAGTTTTTTATATATCCTTCCAGTATTTGCTTGCAGAAACAAGCAATATACTTACCTTTTTCCATCTTTCATACACAAGAGTTAGCATGTGATATATACTCTGTACCTTGCTTTATATACATTTGTTTAAAACATTGTATTTTTGGAGAGCTTTCTAGTTTCATACAATGGTGTAGTATTTTATTTTGAGAATATACTATGTAGTTTGTTTAGTCATTTTCCTATCTATAAACACATAGCTTATTTCTAGGCTTTTACAAACCGCATCGGGGGGTGGGGGTGTGTATATGTGTCCTGGCCTGAGCTCTTTGAAGGAATAGATTTTGTGTTATTGGTCTTTATGCTTCAATGCCTGGTAATGTTTGGTGCATAGAGATTTCTTTGGGCAGGTAGCAGAATGGTTAGTTGGTAGATACCAGGAAGGTCAGTGTGACCACTCTTACCTGATGGATTGCCTAAAAACAGACTTTCTCAGGATGTCTTGTGCCTGAGATGTTACATAAAAAACATGTTAGAGCTATAAAATCCTTGATAGTTTCATCTTGATAGTTTCATGCCTGATTACAGCTGGTTTCTTTTTCCTTTAGTAAACTAGAGGATGCCTTCTGAACAAATTCTGCCAGCTGATCTGTTTTAGTTTCACTTGTTTTTTATAGTATGACATATTTTTAGTTTATAGAGCTCAATATTCCTCTACTAACAAGTATCCCCCCCCCGACCCTTTTAATAAAGGGGTGGTTTTATTGGTTATGAAAACTCAAGTAGAAAGAGTTTGGAGGTTAGAAAAACCCATTTTGTTAAAGTAATATACAGTATGTTAAAGACATCTTACTAAGCACCCCAAAACAAAGCTAATGTCACACAAAGAAGTTGATTAATGGCTAACATTATTTCACATGAACACTGAACAAGTGGTTTTGGAATCTGTGTGAGAAAACAGCTCAGGTGGCAAGAAAGAGATACAGGCTTTCTCCTGGACTGGGGGGATGATGGGGGAAAGAGGGGATTAGTATATAATAGGAAACTTATCAAAAAATATGTGGTCCAAACTTTCTGTAATGGTTTTTGGCTACTTGCTAGATGTTTCTGATGTTTGAAGCTAGTCCTAATAAGATGGTTCATCTTTCTTAAAATTCTTTGAACGCAGATGAGGAACAGTGCTAGAGATTAATAATGCCAGCTCAGCAGTCTAGTTCCTTAGGTGGATATAATTTTATGCATGCACATCTGATCAAGACACGATTACATACTTACCAAGAAAATTATCAACAGCAAAATGGTGCCAGTGTATGAATGTTTCAGTGAGGAAAAAAATCAAAGATAAAACTTTCAAGGAAACATTTACTAAATGTCAAATACATCTCTGTGATCAAATGTGGCTTTAATCTCTTGGCACAATTACACAGATTCCCCAGGTCTGTTAGATCAGTGCTCTGCTGCTTTATATACTAAGATGCACCTGATTCTAATCAAACTCAGAATAAGTAGGTCAGAAGTGTTCTTTCCCCGCATCTAGAACCTTTCACATTGCCCATCAATACTCAGAAGATAGAAATTGCTTTTAAAGATTGTTATTTTTCATTTCCCCTTCATGTGCCACAAGCTCTATCATACAAAGCAAATATTACAAGAAGACTGAAGAAAACAGAATTTCCCTACATTTTTCGTGTGTGTGTGTGTGTGTGTTTTAAATGCCCCTTTTGCAGCAGCCTCTCAGGGGTAAGGAAGGTGCTCTCAGATCTGCTGGTTCTTCCCTGCGTGGCTTCCTCAGGCAAGGTGATTGCAGACACCCTTGAAAGCATTCCAGTCATAGTATTTTGGTGGAACCATTCTGTAAGATTGTCCTTTCTCCTGCTGGGATTTTTGACTTAGAATTGTGTGATTTTAGGCAGGAGTTGGCATATCTGCCTTTGTCAGGGCTTTTCTTTCCTAGGTCCCTTCTCTGCATTTCTTTAGACAAGTGATCCTTTCTCAGCTGGGACCTGGAGGAACTGTCTTTTGAAATAAATTACAGGATTTTTAATATTATTGTTTGGGTAAAAACAATATGAAGATGATCTTTTGGATAAGACAGATGACAAACTTGTGTTTGTTTTTATTCCGTGCTTACAAATTTTTCTGTCTGTACTCTAGGGGAAGGTGTGGCTGATTGATTTCAACCCGTTTGGTGAAGTAACTGATTCACTGCTGTTTACTTGGGAAGAGCTGATATCTGGAAGAAACTTAAAAGGTGATTTTAGTGAAGGAGACACTCTGGAGCAGGTAAGAGGTTAAAAAAGGATTACAGGAAACCTTGTAATCCATTAAATAATTGCTCCTTTGTTCTTTAGGCATCAACACAGATTTACTAATAGGTACTCAGTCATGGAGGTGACCAAAAAGGGTGTGTACCTGATTCACCTGGAAGAATCTTGACCCTGGGTCAGTTCTATGTTGGCTCTGATCCTAGCTCCAGGCTTCTGACCCCTGAGAGAGGAAAACTGCAGGTGCCCAGCCTGTGGTCTTGTCATAGTCATAGTCATGACCCCATCAGGGGGACCTGACTGCAGTGTTTCCCTCACCAGCTTTCTCTTACACCCACGGTGACCTTCCACACCCCTGTGGAACCCTTCAGACCGCCCACCAGCCTCCCTTTCTGTCCCTCAGCAGATGATTCCACATCCTCCTTCATAGGAAGAGAAGCCACTGGTGCGAACTGACTTCGTGTAATTGTCCTCAGACCTCTGAGCGTCCCTCTGTCCCTCCTCCTCAGTCTAACAGTTCCACCTGCTCAGCTGTTCCTTACCGTCTCTCATAATACCCGTGCTGCCACTCACTCCGTCATGTTTCCCGTTCTCTTCTTGTCCACCCGCCCTGTCTGTGTTCAGGTATCTTCTGTCTAAAGAGACAAACCTCCTTCAACCTTATGTCTTCAGCCAGTAATTCTGTCTCCTCATCTTCGCAGCCAAACTTTCTTTGAACAACACCTTTCTGTTGCCCTTTTCTGCTTATGAAAGTAATACACGCCTGCTTTTGAAGAGTGTTCTGAAGTACCCACAGTCCTACCATGTTGAGAACCACGGTTTATATTTTCTATATCATATTTGGTACACATAACATGCCTGTATACATACACATAAACTTGTTAAAATAAATGATTTTACTACATATGCATTATCTTTGTGTTTTTTAGTGTATTTTAAAAAGCAGTTTTATTTTTACACAGTCATTTAAAAAACCAGGGAATTAGAATGAGGCAAGACTTGAAATCCTACCACCTGGAAATTGCCATTCTTACCCTGCAGTTTATATTGTCCAGGCGTGGTTCTATAATCATATGTACAAGTATTTTCCTACTGGCTTCCCTCATGCTAGCAGGTGACCTGTGGTTTTGTAACTGCTCACAGCCGGTCTCCTCACTTGGCCTCTCCTTCCTGCTGCCTCTCTACCTGTGCACCCCTCCACCCGCGCGGTTGGCTTCCGCCCCTGCCGCTCCACAGAACCTGCTCTTGGCAGGGGCTCTACCGGCCGGCTGAGAGGGCCAGGGAACGATGCACGGCAACATTTGAATGTGTTACCCTCTTCCGTGTTTTCACCACACATTTTCCCCTGGTTTCCATGATACATGCTCTCCTGCTGGGTTTCTTCCTGCTTTTCTGGCTGCTGCCTTGCTTTTAGTGTGAGGATCTTTTGTCTTAGCTCTGAAATACTTCTTTTCATCATTACTCTGTCTGGGCCCTTTCTGGCCCTGTTTTTCTAGATCTAGCTCAGATGGCTATTTCCCTGTCAAGGCTCTCGCCCTATTGTGTTGTGCTTGCCCCAGTTGCGGGTAAAGTGGGAGTATCTCTCATGTTCTCCAGATTAGTGTGGCTTAGCACAATTCGGGCACAGTTGATTTTTGTTAAATTAATGGCTGAAAGAATTGTCTTCGTGCTGGCATCTTAGAGTTGGGGGCCATTAAATCTGAATGTCAAGGAAAGAGAGTGTAAATTATTCAGCACAGTGTTATTTTTAAATATGAGGGACACAGTGGATAGAAACAGTTTGTACAAAATTCACTCTATGATCCAAATCCTTTCTTTCTTTTTAAACAACATTATATTGGAGGTCAGGGGCTGACAGGGAAAGAGGAGCAGGCTCCTGCCTTTTCCCCAGAGTCGTGTCCTGCCTGTCTCACCGTCCTTACTCCCCTCCACGGAGACCTGGCTTTTCTTCTCATTCTCACAGCTACAAAGCCCTGCCTCAGGATCTTTGTCCTGGTTGTGCCCACTGCTTTCCAAGCTGTGCCCGGTCTCTGCCTGAGTTCCCAGACCTCCCAGGGCTGCTTTCATCGTACTTTTCAGTCCACATGTTCTGTCCTCAGCAAGGTATTACCTGACCACCCCTGTGAAGTGGCCTCTTATCATAGCACCCTGTTGTTGTGTTTTTAGAACACCTCTCACTATCTGAAATGATCTTGCTGTTGTATTTATTTGCTTATTTATTGACTGTCTGCCAGACTGGTTTACCAGTTATCTCCTACACCTAGGACAAGGTCAGCGCAAAGTGGGTGTTTCCTAAGTATTTGTCAGATGACTGGTCTGTCATAAGATATGGCCTGCTTTCTAGGGCTCTACGGTCCTGTTCCACTCAAGCTCCTGGCCTGTCTCCATCTGCTGGACACCATCCATCCCTCACCTAGATACCTGCCACCCATGAAGTCCAAACCCAAGGCCTTCTGTCTCTGAAATCCTTTTTGGCACAAGGCAACATGTAAATATTAAATGCAAGACTCTAAGCAAGTACATTGAAGAATGTGAAGACTTGTTAAATATGATACTCAAATTTGCAGTTTTCCATAGGTGCTAAGAGCGATACACAAATATGTAAGTTAAATGACTAAGAGAAGCACAAAAGTATTAGGAATTCATAGCACTTGCTTGCTCTAATTATTAACTTTATTCTCCAGGATAGTATTTCCCCACTGTGCACCTATAGAAAATGCTAATATTGATAAAGCTCTCTGACCTGCATGAGATTGCTCAAGGCCAGAGAGAACTAGCCATAGGCCTCCGGTCCATTCAAGGACTGAGGAACCTATAACCGAATCGCAGTGAATAGTGGCTGGTAGCATTTAGGGACTGACCAAAGCTCTCCATGAGGGCACTGTTTTCAGATACTGTGTATTTATTTTCTAGTGAAATGTGGAAATAGTCTTAAAATTTTGGTGTTTTCTTTTACTTCAGAATCTTATTTCCTTCCTTACCTACTACAGAAGGGAACATGAATTTGAAATTGTTATACTAGTATCTTTTTCACTTTGAAGAATAGACTTAAAAAGATAATTCCTCACAGCCTTTCCCTTTTTTTCTTTATAAAGGATTCTCCAGCTTTCCGTTGCACAAACAGTGAAGTGACAGTTCAACCCAGTCCCTATTTGAGTTATCGACTTCCGAAGGACTTTGTAGACCTGTCTACTGGGGAGGATGCTCACAAACTCATAGATTTTCTTAAACTGGTAAAGTATATGTGTACTTAGTACACATGTGTGTACACCTTTGTTTTCAAATTGACTTTGTAAAATTTCATTGTACCCATATACTACCTAGATTTTATTTGGTTAGGTCATTCTATAATGAAATATATAAAGTAAGCTGTAGGAATAATTTATGGCTTAGAATGATAGAAAATCTGTTTTATGGTATTTATGCTTTCTGAATAATTTTCACAATACTTGTGCTTTTGAAGAAAGTCTGTATACTGTTACAGAGCTAAGAGAAGATCCAGCTCTGAGCTGTATTACTCAAGGGGAATGTGTGTATTTGTGCTCTTGTGTGTGTTGCTATGTGGGAATGTTTGCACAAATGGAAGAAAGAGAAGTATTCAAGTACCTGAGGATCATGTGCCTAGGAGCCAAAGTGATAAACTTATCTGATGAATTAGTTAAGACATGTTTCTCCATGATGATTTTCGACCATATCTGTTGCCAAGGGCTCTAGAAAATCATACTTGCTGACAGAAAAAGTGATCTTGATTGAACAAATATCCCAACTAGAATGTGCTAATTTAATGTATCATGGTTTCTTTTGACAGAAAAGAAATCAGCAAGAGGATGACTGATGAGAGTGCCAGAGTTAAGTCCGAGGTAAAGAGGAAACCACGTTGGCATCAGGAGGCTGCTCTGACCTCACAACTTCCTGTTATCCCACTTGGGTTGGGGTGGGAGGTGGAGTGAAATCAGTAGCTTTTTATATCCATGTATATTAAGCTGGAAAAAAAAATGGAGGGACTTTGCTACTTGTAAAAATAAATAATAAATAGATCTTAAATATAGGAAACCATACTGTTCTGATGATAAATACTTTCTCTGAAATACCTCACTCTTTTGGCTCAGTCTCTTGAGATTTATCTGTGTTTTCTTGTGCTATTTACAGATGTTTCTTGTGCTACCTATTGGGTAGATGGGCATATTTTATATTTGTTATACAGAAATGGGTTCTTTTTTAATCATTGCTATTTCTTGGAAAAAATAGAACCTTATACTGCTATAGAAAACATTTTTCCTACTTTGAGAGGATTTTCATATAATTTTTCTATTGGTTTATTTTTGGTTTGCATATAACTAAAATAATACAGAATTCTGAAGCTATCGACTAACCAGAAAATGTCAGTATATTACAACTAGCTTAATATTTAATGTGTATTAGTAAAACTATCACAGATTTAATTAGAATTTGACCTTTTTTAAACACATCAGAATTTTGGGGAGGTAGATTCACTTTTCTGAGGCTACCATATGAGTAATTATTCTTCAGTGCACTAAAGGGTGATGAGTATATCAATAATATCTAATTTACTCAGTACTTATTATATGCTTATTATTACTTATTAGTACTTATTATATACTTATTATATACTCTGCTACGTGTTCTTTGTTTATTGTTTTACGTCCTGGAACAATTTTAAAGAAATCGACATTACCATTTCCCAGGGCATCTATCTAATGTGGTATCATAGAATCTTTTACTAGTTGGAGGTATGTTTTTCAACTTAGGAGTGCACATTTGAATGCTCCCATGGGAAGATAGAAAAGTGGAATAGAATTTCCCCTTTCTGTGTGGTTATGGCAGATTATACATAATCATGAAAGATACTTCTTTTTTTTGGTTATCTCAAACTCTGTAGCTTTTTGTGTGGTTATAATCACTTGGATATTAGTATTTAAAAAAAAATACAGAGATCAAATTGTGATCTTTGTACTCAGTATATCCTATGCCATTTCTGAGGCCAGTTTTTGAAGTTGAGGTGCTTCAAAATATTTTTTTTTAAGCCACAATTGAGGGAGTTGACTGCTAACTTGTAATAGAGGGATTTATTATCGTGAGTTGACTTAACCTTAGCTTTGGAAGCTGGCTTCATCAAGGTGGTACTTCACCAGTCCAAAAAAGAAAAAAAAAAGATGTATTTAATACCAACTGAAAAGAAATGGACTGTAAATAATAGCAGGACTTAAGTAAAATGTGGCAAATATTTTATAAAAAGTACAATTCTTGATATAAAACTCATTAAATTTTTGCATTAGTTTTCCCGAGGCATTACTGAGTTCAACTCTCACTTTTAAAAATGTGATTTTTATACATTATTTCCCTAGTATATTTAATTTTTGTTGATTAGCTTGATGTTAATAGTAAATATAGGCCAATGTGCAGGAAATGTTTTCCTACAGTCAAATGATCATTTATGCCTGCCTAAAGATTAGTTTTGAATTATCCTTATATTTTATTGGCATCTGCTTTTTGTTTTTTTTGTTTGTTTGTTTTTTGTTTTGTTTTGAGGTACTTCCAGTTTGTGCTTAAATTTAGAAAGAGAATTAGCTTGATCCTGAAATCCTACCTTTTGAAGAGAAGACATTGTAGCCGTTGGTTTAGTCAGGTTGGGACAAATATTTTTACTTTGTCCTGTGGAACAGTAGCATGTTATCATGGGCCTCCAATACAGCAGACTTTGCCAAAAAGTTCTGTTTTTAAGTCTCATTTTGATATGTATTTTCATAAATTTTTCCCATCTACTCAGCCATTTCTCTTAGGGTAATTGAGAATTGTGTCCACTGTTAAAAAAACAAACAGTAGAATAATAGTTGAAAATTCATTTGTTAAATGAGAGCCCATGTAATTCTTTTTATATAGTATATCACTACATACATACTAAACCCCCAGCACATGGTAGCTGTCATTATCATTTTGCTTTGCAGACCTCTGTGTATTAAAGGCAAATTCTTTTTTTTTTTTTTTGTTAGAGAGAGAGAGAGAGCAAGCACGTGGGAGCATAGGCAGACAGAGTGTCAGGCAGAGGCAGAGGGAGAAGCAGGCTCCCTGCTGAGCAAGGAGCCCGATGTGGGACTCGATCCCAGAATCCTGGGATCATGACCTGAGCCGAAGGCAGCTGCTTAACCGACTGAGCCACCCAGGCGTCCCAGGCAAATTCTTTTTTTAATGGAATCAAGAAAATTTTGAGTGGCAAAGGACTTCCAAGATGATTCGGCCCAGTTTCTTTCCCTTTTTTCCTCCTTTCCTTCTCCCTGTCCTGTCTTTTTTAACAAAGCAGAAAACTGCTGCCCAGAGGAGTTAAGATTTTTCCAAAATTGAAGCGGAATCAGGACCACAAAAGAACTTCTAATGCTATTCTCTAAGGGCTTTTAGCCTAATATTTTTTATAGATAAGTTTCAACCAGGACAGATTAGTATTTTAATAATAGAATTTTCAAAAAAAAGTTTTTTCTTGAGTATAGTTGACTAGTTGACACACAATATCACATTGGTTTCAGGCGTACAACATAGGGGTTCCATGAGTTTATACATGATGCTGTGTTTACAAGTGTAGCTAGGGATTTTTTTAAAAAAATAAAGGTAAGTACAAATTCACATTTGTGTGGAAGAATTAGATGAGAAGAGATATTAAATACAGAAATTAAATGAGGAAGTAACTGTCTTTGAAAAGTTAATTCAGTCTCATGTTTATATTAACCAAGCTCATCCTGAGAGGTGACTTAACCATTTTTAGACATTTTAAAGACAAAATTCCTATTTAATTCATTGTTATATTTACCTTTGCTAGCACACAGAAAACAGCTTCTATAAGTAATCTAAGAAAATAAGTGATGATCAGCGCATCACTCACAGCACAGGTGTGTCATGGATACACGTGGGTGGCTTGCGGGAAAGGGAATGTAAGACTTAATAAAGCAGTTGGGCAAGGAATCCTGCATCGTCTGAAGAGAGCATGCATTCAAATGCGTCTTTTTTCAATCAAGCGAAACCAAACCGAAACAGTGTCCGGAAGGACAGATAAGCTGGTAGAGGTGGGGTGACACTTGGTACCGCACCGACTGGTCCCTGGGGCAGAGCCTTGGGGGCTGGGCCGGAGGTCGGTGCTGTGCGCGCGCATCCGAGCGGTCCTGCTTCACAGACCGCGAGAGTGGGCACCGCTCTGGAACCAGCCCCTGTGGAGGTGGGCGCCGCGGACACGGACACCTGCTCTGGTAAGAAGAGATTTCTGAGGTGGTGACAGGGAAGCGATACCGGAGGTTGGGGAGAAGCCAGCCACGTGAAGCGGGGCAGGAACGGCTCACAGGAGCGTGGCCTGAGGTGGGAGAGGCGACCGGGGTGAAGGCTGGGGCGTGGGCGAGGGCAGGGCGAGGGCCAGGGCACTGCCCGCGGCTGACGCGTTGGGATTTCATTCTTGCGGGAGGTGAGAAGCCAGGGCGAGGGTTGAAGCAAGGGAGAGAGATGATGGTCTGGGTTAGGTTTTCGAAGTGGTTTTCTGGTTTGTGTGGAAAGCCGATCAATTGGGAGAAGGGTGCCTCATGGCCGTCATGTGAGTACCCTTGGGGGGAACTGGGGTGTGGGGCACACTACGGGGGCGCCACTGAGGGGGAGCACGGGCGGGATGCAGGGCGGGAGGAGCAGCAGGAAGCCGACCGGTCTGTCAAATAAATAATCTTAAAAAAAAAAAAAAAACAATCATTGGGAAATTGAGTATAAATAACCTTATAACCTTCAAAATAAGCTAAGCAATTCTTAATGATTTGGGGAGAAATCAATTTCTCTGAGAATTTGGTGAAAGCTGTGGGCTCTCCTGAGAGGGTCGTAGATCCCAGATTAAGAATCCCTGGTGGGATGCCATGTAGAATCAGATTGGAAGCCAAGGATTCTGTAGTTGGAAGAATGGAGCCATCCCATACTGTATAGTATACTGCACTTTTAGTAGCTTCTAAATTTGATAGTTTCTTTTTTTAACTAATCAATTTTTTTTAAAGATTGTGTTTATTTGTCAGAGAGCGTACAAGCAGGAAGAGAGGCAGGCAGAGGGAGAAGCAGGCTCCCTGCTAAGCAAGGTACCCGTTGCAGGACTCAATCTGAAGGCAGACGCTTAACTGA